TCAGATACCATGCCATAACTTATGGTTGGATAGTTGATCAGATTGTTCGGCGTGCCGATCCAAAGCACAGATCAGTAGGACAATTTTTCAAGGAAGAAATAGCCGATAGATACGGTAATGCTGACGTTTTATGTTACAGTACTCTGCAATTGATTGAAACAGTGACAATTCAGGTATTGATTTCCATATTGGACTGCCGAGTTCTGAAGAGCATACGGTATCACGACTCTCTATGCCGTCTACAGCGCACCTCCTCAAGGAAATTATCCATGATCCAAGGTACGACTGATCCATTTCGATGGAAAAAAGCAAATAATCGGTTGATGGGTCGATGATCATCCTTAGAAAGCTACGGTTCGCAGTAAACTACTGACTCAATAAAATTAGTCCAGAAGTACTGCTAGATCAATGAATAATCCCCGACTTTTGAAATTTTCCACAAATCATGTTATTATTCCTGAATGTGAAGGACTTAACAAAGGTAAAAGGGGTCTATAATGCTAATTTTGACATTTTCCAATTGCGCATACCTTTGATCCGGCAGAAAGAAATTGTACCTCTCCTTATCTCTCTTTAAATCAAGCTTTTGTTTCTAAAATCTTTGCCTAAAAGGTTTCGTTCGGTAAAAATTGTGATCGCTTCAAAAGAATGAGAAAAAAGCTAAATATTAGGAATCCCTCCAAGATACGCCGCATCGAATTTCGCTGTGAATCATAAAGCGATAAGAAAGTTGTTTGATCCTGATGGTGTTCGATTCTAGTTCCATAATCTCTCACAAACTCCACAAGATAACTGAGGATGGGCAGTTTTGAAGAAATGGGAAGGGGAACTGGTGATTAGTGACGACGCGGTAGTGGGCCCAAGAAGATAGTGATCGGAGATACTAAACTACCGAGCGAAAGATAGTGATTGCGATGGTCCCGAGCGACAGAAGTGCCTATACAGAAATAAGTTTGCAGAAAAACAAAACCATAGATTTTTCAGAGTTCTAATTGTACTCGGCATACTTCATCTACGACCTCCAACTTCGATCGCAAGGAAAGTTCGTGAAAATCCTCAGTGGTTTAAATTGGAACAGGTATAGTCCCTATTTTAAGATATCCTTGATGTTAAGAGGTATTTGGACTGCATGGATTGCAGACAGCAAAAATAAAAAATGAGGGAGAAAACGTAGGAAATGAACCATTGTGAACCGTATGGATAATGGTCTCGAACCAAAATTTTTAAGTTGAAAGAGCCCAACATTTCCCCAAAGACAGTCTTTGGCTGAAAAATTCGTGTGGGCCACTGATTTGAACAACCGGTTTATTGTACAGGACAGATACGCATTCAAATGCTCGTGCAGTTCTAGGTTGAGGTCGGGTATGTGGCTCAGCTGAGGGAAGCTTGACCACACCAAACTTTTCCTTTCCTGACTACTACCATTATCTTATTGTGGAGTTATTTCCATCCCTAATATTATCATGACCTTGTCCAGACCGTAATCAGAGTATTCAAGGATGTGAACACCTTCAACGATCCGGAGCTACATGGTATGGAACAAGTCGCAGCTCTAGGAATCACGAAAGCCCGAGATATGGCCCGCTTGTTCTCCCTTATGCTCAGCGGGAAGTTCTTCAGTAAGGTGACTACCTTTGCTCATTGATCAGTTGGACATCAGGAACAGAGAAACGATTTTCTTGCAGGAACTCGTCCAACGGTTCAAAAATCCCCAGATCTCTTCTGGCCTTGACGAAATAGTAATGACCCCATTGCCAAAAGGTCATGGTTTCCTATACGAGAGGCATCCAAGCTCGGGAGTGAGTCTTATTTTCTGGTCCAAAAATTCGGAGTGAACTTGCCGATTTCTTTCTTTCACGAAGCGGGTCGGATGAAGCATCAGGAATGATACCTTTATTCGGAAGCTATTAATCGCCATAAATACTCATTTCAGAAGCGATGGCTCGTTGGCCACCCAGGGTATGGTGGAAGTACAGTGATGATGGATGTTGATGATGAGGTTTGAACCAGCACTGGCTAGTTCAATATTTATTTATTACGAGAGTAGTAGCATGATCTTAGACAAAAAAGAGGAAGCCTTTGATGTTGTCCAGTTCCGTATTGGGAGCGCCACGCATTCGACTTCCATTCGTCTTAAGGACATTTCGAAGCAACCTAACTGATGTATACAACGAAGGGACCTGCCAGTGTACAAGCCACTGCTTTCATAATCCCCGTTCAATTTGGTTCCCATCANATCATTTGGCAAGTATAAACGAGGTGTCCCAGTATTTCCAATGAGCTCGGGTGGGTGCTTTCCTACGAAGTGGTTGATCAGTGTTAAAATGTTTATTCCTCTGCCCTTTCCCCGTCAAAAAGAACGCCTTGCTTTGAACTTATCTAAATATGAGATGCTTCTAATACCATCTTCACACCCAAAGGCGGACCATTTTCAACCCCACAGCTCCTAATCTGTATCTAAGGCATCATGGAAAGAAGATTGATCTTTGTTGCTAAGAATCGCTGAAACTCTCACAGACAATTATACTTTTCCTAGATTGTCATCGCTTACGTAACGAATGGTCTGAAAACTGGAATGGGAGAGTTGACACGAACATATCGCCATTTACGTGACGCTGTATTCGAGTGTTTCGAGAAATCAAAGGAGTAAACCGTCTTGTAAAGCAATATACGAGTAGCTCAATAAGCAGAAATTTCTTCAAACGGTTAATTTCTTCGTTCTAAACAATAATCTCTCAACAATGTTTGACGTGTGTGTGCCCCTCACATATATTCTCGTAGCCTTGACCCTGAGCTCAGAATGGTTTACCTAAGTTTTAGGACCCTTTGACCAAACTGCTCATGCTTTAGCCCCATTTCAGTCGTTGACTATATTTTTCATTTAAAGTGCCAGATGACAAAATATACGGTGCTTTGTGCTAATTAGTGATAAAATGTAGCTTATGTACATAAAAAAATGTTTGTAATATAGGTGTTGAATAAAGCGTACCTTCACTCTCTTAAAGTTTATCGCCAATTTATCATAATTATTATATTAACAGACAATTATAATCAAAAAAATGAGACACCGTGCCTGGCCGCCGTCACGTCAAATATGAGCAAAACAGCGACGGAGATACCACATAATCAACAACACGTCTATTCATCCATATCATCCTCTTCTAGTTTCGCATGAGCCCATTCTTCAGCCTCCGTGACAATGTCAGCCGGTACTGTCTGAACACAAGAAATACGACTACTGTAATTTTAAAAAAGTAATTTTTAAGAATGACCTGGTGTTTCCCATCGGTATGTGCTCCTACCCATCCTAGCTCTATTTGAACATCTTTGTCCTGAAAAAAAGCCACCCAAATATCACATGATGCAAAAAATAAATGAGGAAAAATAAATAAAAGAAAAACGTGAAAGAAAGAGCCGCTAAGCTCTCATTTGCTACCTTATTTTCGTCCCGAATGGCCATGATGATTCGTGCAGCCTCTTTTACTAGATCCTTCATATCGTATTCTTCCAACTTGAGTTTTTCGATTTCTGCCTAAATTTAGTGACTAGAGACCACTGATTTACTTGATATGAATGATATGGGAACACACCTTAGCGGCTTGTCGGTGTTTTCCAACAGCCCACGCCTTATATTCGTAGCAAAGTCCAGATGGCTCCACCAAGTATAGTTTGCCGCCATCCTGCACATTAACAAACGCCCATTAGAAAACTGAATCAAGCCGAGGTAAGCAACGTAGAATTGGCAATCTGAACTATCCGACGCCTTTAGAATGATTTCCCCATGATTCGGAAAAAGGTGTATCGGGCATTAAATTCATACCCAATAAAGAAAGTTAGAGAGCAGACAGGTAACGGGTGAAATGGACCGGCATTATGCATCGATTCTACTGCCTTACAGTCACAACAGAAAAAAATTATTGGGAGAACTGGAAAACTAATTTAGAAGCTCGAGAGCTAAAAAAACACACCTTAGCATTCCATGAAGTGAAAAACGCAGCAGCACCGAATGGTCGACTAATCCCGAGAGTGAACACGTGAACGTATTCAGCCAACTGAAACACCTTACTTGTAAGGAGCAGCAGTAGTTAAGTAGTAATAGGGACAAAAAAGAAGAAGATGAGCGTAACCGTAAAAACAAGAACAGATCAAAACAAACTTACAGCATTTGCAAGTTTTTGGATCGGCATTGGCTGCCGATAGTCCTTGAGGTATTTCACAGCCTGAATAAGTTCAACTTTAAACTCTAGCACGGCCTTCCATAGAAAAGTACATCCTGGTGGATCGAAGGAACGTACCTCGTTGCATGCGTAATCCTTCAAAGCTCGGCAATCAGGGTATACCCCTGCTAAGGCTATTCCTATGTCTTCATTAGCACTGAACATCCGTGGGTTCGCATTCTGTAATTCAAGCTACCAATTGTTCAAACATGAGAAACATCAAGCTTACTCCCGTCCAGGTCTGATTCACGGCTCTCATCCCATCAACTGTCTAGAATGTGAAGTGGGAAGCATCCCTAACTCATGGGCAGGATGAAAATGAGCACAACTCTCACAACCAAAACAAGAGACAACAATTTTATGAATAAGTTGCGCTATTAAGCCATAACTGAAACCCGAACATCCGTTGATCCGCTATTTGAAAACTTGAGTTTTCCCTTTAGCAAGGAAAAATGTTTCCAATATAGTGTTTAATTCAACAGTAGTAGCACGTGTGTGGGATGATAAGATACTGTAAACATGGGCAACTGTCATAGAGAGCGTTTATATCTAAGCTGTTTTTTTAGCTTTAGTGATGCCTACTGAGGAAAAGCTAAATTGAAGCTCTGAGCAATCAGTAAGAAAGATTTTGAAGACCTTACCTCTTCATACATCTTCGACGTGATCACCTTATCAACAGCTGTGACTACCCCATTTTTACCACGCAGAGCGATCATCGTGCCACTATTATCAACGGCCTTCTGGGCATACTCGACTAGAATAAAACAGAGAAAATCCACCTTCTACCGACCATAAAGAGATATGACTCACTTTGGAATATGCGCCCATCAGGGGAGAACGTCGATGCAGCTAGATCATAGCCCGTACCGATGGAACTCATCCTAGATTAAGGATGAACAAAATGGAAAATTTGAAAATTTCAAACTGCAATCTTGACGAAATTGAATGGGATGATTAAACGGTGTCAAGAATTTAGTCCTTCCACAGATACAACAGTCGATCTTGGCAAATAAAAAAATCTGACGCTTGTAGATGATATTAAACCTCAACGACTAATGGCTACCACAAAGTCAGAGGAACAGGAAACCAAAGGGAATGCAATTGCTTAATAAATCACACATGTCATAACTTCCCATTCATCATATGCGCTTCACATATATTAGAAAAAGGTAACCATGAAAAAAAGGAAAGAATGATTTGAAAGTGCGGCTTGGTTTGGTAAGCGCTAAAAAGCGAGCCCCGACAATGTCGGTGAAACTCGTCCGCGAGGTCAGAACTCGTCTGCAAGGCATTTTCAAGGTCCGAAATGATCCTGAAGTCATAAGTGCTTCTTAAAATGGACGCACCAGGAAAGATGAAAGTATTTTGTTGTGTTTACGTAGCGGTATGTTATTAGGATTGGGCGTAGGTAGTTAGAGACATGTGGCACACCTCATCACATGCACGATCCAGGATCGGATCCTCGATCTGTGACCAGGCTAACCAAGCCTTCCACCTCTCCGGGGTAGAGATTGATACCAGGCTCGCTCAAGGGCACAAAAGCAGTGGGCACGGTATAACGGCTGGCCACCCGCAACTACTTCATCATGTTAACCCTCCTTCCGTTTTGGCTGAATCTAAAATCCTTCACCCAGAAAACTTAACCCTTTTAGTAGTGAACAGCTACTCGTTTCGAAACTTGTCAGGTCGCTATTTCAATCTAAAATCGAGCGTTAACTCCTCACCGAACTCTCCGCTCCATTACGGGGGCGGGACATTCATCAACCTTTTCGTAAGTTTTGCGTTTGATACGTATGTTGCAGACACCGCATTAAAGCCGACGACAAATTGTACATGCTTTCGAACCTGCTTCCTTTTTTGCAATCGCTTCCGTTTTTGGGAGACATTATCGCACTCTGATATTGTTTTTAAACTTCTCTGTTTGGTGATTGAGAAATGTGTCTAGTGAGTATATATATCCACATATACTGGGGAGTGAAGTTTTGGATAATTTTTATATTTCCTTACTGAGAACTTTAAGGCTTTTCTCCGGTAAAGTAGTCGTTCAAAAATTGGATAAAGCGCAAAGGGCTCTGTATTCATTCAGTGTCACCGGGGAGGATGGTTGTATATATTCTGGCACATAGTAGAAGTGGAAGGCCCATCGCGCTTTTTAGCACCAAACCAAAACGGGGTGTGAGTTGTTTCTGCTTATTATGAAGCCATCCATAGGATTTCATGATGAATCTTCCTCGTTGTTGCTGCTATTCTTTATTTTTCACGCTTTCACAAGTATTTTCCGTATTCAGTGGCAGGAAAATGCCATCAAAGAGTCGTAGTGCATCACCTGACGAGGACGTTCCCTCACCAAAATCGTCGCGCTCAAGGAGCCGAAGCGTTTCTGATAAAAGTGATGTACCATCGCCAAAATCAGATAATGGGGTAACGAAGGGCGCTCGGTCAAGAGTGAGTTTGTATCTGACTTTCGTGGGATCTTACTTTCAGAGTTTATGCTTTGTTTTTCAGTCACGAAGTCCTTCCAAACCTGACAAAAAAACGGAATCGAAGACTCGGAGACGATCGCGTACAAGAGTGAGTTTCTGGAGTGGATAACGCTCCATCGATATAATCATTTTTTGTTTCCAGCTCTGAGCTACCCTCATGAGAGCTGATAGCAATGTGGCAAAATTTCTTGAATAAAATTACGAAGCTTAAACGAAATTGAATCAGAGTTTGGAAATCGTTTCTAGCCCGCCTCTTCCGCTTCTTTTACCCTAGATTCGCTTCCTTGCTCTAAAATCATGGCTCCTATATTGTTCGGGAACGCAACCTGGGTTCAGAAATAGTTTTAGACCAGGTTTAATGAGGGTATTGAACTCCGATATGAAATCTGCAGTATTGTCTAATTGTCCAGCTTTTTGCAATTGTTTCTTATTTCAGTCACGCAGTCGCTCTCCAAAGTCTAGCAACAGAAGAAGATCCAAGTCGCCAAGGCGAAACAGATCACGGGTCAGTTGTTATCTATGAATGAATATCGATAGTCGCCGAATTCTGGCAAATTCGCTGGCTTACTGTTGGTAGTTTAGGGAGTTTCATTGGAAGAGGAGGGAAGGACGAATAAACCTTTCGAAGTCGTCAAAAGGATTAGTATTTAACTCTGAAAAGTCCATATATGTGATCAACATATGTGCTTAGGGTATTGCTTAGGGCTGTCTACCAACAAAGTAACAAAAAAGGTGCATTGAATATTTAGTATTTAGTCATATACGCTCCAGCCCGTATTTTTTATCCTATGAACGGTAAGGCTTCTCTGGCATGTTGAAGTCTCTTCTTGCCATGAGGCTGGGATTTTACGTTGAACACCCTTTTCCTTCCAATCTTGAATTGTTAAAGTCATACTCGTGATTATGAAGATTTATCATTTATTTGATTGGCCTGCATTGTTGGTTCGTCTTAGCTAAACCAGAACTTGTGCGCTAGTCAACATAAAGAGATGGAAGGAGCAACAATATAGAGCAGTACTTGAAATGAAGTTAAATACGGTCNGCATTGAATATTTAGTATTTAGTCATATACGCTCCAGCCCGTATTTTTTATCCTATGAACGGTAAGGCTGTCTCTTGCACGTTGAGTCTCTTCTTGCCATGAGGCTGGGATTTTACGTTGAACACACTTTTCCTTCCAACTTGAATTGTTAAAGTCATACTCGTGTTTATGAAGATTTATTATTTATCTAATTGGCCTGCACTGTTGCTTCGTCTAAGCCAAACCAGAACTTGTGCGCTAGTCAACATAAAGAGATGGAAGGAGCAACAATATAGAGCAGTACTTGAAATGAAGTTAAATACGGTCACGCTATGGCTGGGAGACAAGGTCCGCTTAACCCAAGCCTAGAACAGCGAGTCGTCAGCATGTAGGAACAGAGCTAAATGCCGAGTTCGCAAACCTGGACGAGAACCGACCTGTGGAAGTCAAAGGATAGGCCAGTACAGATAGATCTGAGTGACTGGTTGAAGAAATCGCTGGCCAAGCAAAAATATTGAGACGATTCGAGTTTAACGATATGTGCAACGGTTTCTATATGACATGATGTTCTTCTGCATTACAGTCTCGTAGCCGTAGCCGAAGTCCAAAGACGGCCAACAGAGGACGATCCAGATCGCCAGAACGGTCTCGTGCAAGGGTTGGTTTTTTTAAGTTTATCCTGATTTTGTTCTTCAGATCTGAGATCTACTATTAAACTCGTTTTTTTTCCAAACCAAAAAAAAAAACTCTCTTTGGCGCTCTTTACTACATTACCAATACTCATATCAGCTTATTTATCGTGGACCATCCGTAAGCGGCACTTTCAGTACAGCTTCTGATATTATTCACCCATTCAGTAAACAGCTGGCTTATTGTTCGCTTGCTCTACTTTCATAAAACATTACAAAGAATGAAGATAGCTGTTAGCTGATTTCCTCTATTACAGTCGCGGAGCCGCACACGAAGCCGTGATAGAAGGAGAAGGGATAGAAGCAGGGATGACAAGACAAGGAGCTCGCGAAGAGATGATAGGCGAGATCGAGATCGCAAAAGACGTTCACGAAGCCGAAACAGGTGTGACAAAGGTATTGCTAGGAGCAAGGATTGACTTTTATGTGTTGTTTTCTTATTTAGGAAAGAAAGCGGTGATGAAGATTCATCCCGAAATAAACGTGAACGCCAAGAGAAAAATGAAGAAAAGGTTGCTGAGGAGGGGAAGAAAGCTGAAGAGACAGAAAAGGCGAAAAAGGAGCCTCTGGACCTACTGAGGACGAGGACTGGTGGTGCCTATATTCCTCCGGCTAAGCTGAAAAAATGTCATCCGCGGAAAGTAGGTTACCACGTTGTTTTTTGTTTACTTTCCTTGTTGTCTTGCTAATGTTGTTGTACCGTTTAGTTGTACTAATTCAGAGGGTTACTGGTACGATCTTTGATGCAAGCTCAAGCTTTTTCACCCGTCTTCTCTCACGTTTATGCCGCTTTTGTGGCTGTGATCAACTCCAAGTTTCCTCACATTGGAGAGCTGCTGCTGAGGCGATTAATTGTTCAATTCAAGCGCTCGTTTAGGAGAAACGACAAAGGTTTGGGAAATTTATGCTATTCTAGTTTGTTTTTCTTGAGCAGCTTATTTGCAGGAACTACGGTCACGGTCTCAAAGTTCATCGCTCACTTGATCAACCAAAGAGTGGTGAGTAGTTCAGTGTCATAGCTCAGAAAATTTTTGTCGTCTATTTTAACGTTAATGCCCCTATCAGCTTCGTATGGCTTCGTTTTTTTTTCATTGAGTACGGTCTGAATCAATTTCAATAAGGTATACAGGCTCATGAGGTGCTGGCTCTGGAGATAATGATTCTAATGATGGAAACACCGACCGATGATTCCGTTGAAGTATCAATTGCTTTCATCAAGGAGTGTGGTGCGAAGCTTCTTGAGGTAATCCTTGGGGAGTATCCTATCTACTTTCCATCATTTTCTTTCCTTTAAGGTATCTCCTCGAGCCTTGGATACGATATTCACTCGCCTTCGCGCAATTGTGCAGGACGGCGATGCTATGAACCTTGACAAACGTGTACAATATATGATAGAAGTCGTTCTGACGATTCGTAAAGATAAATTCAAGGCGAGTTTTTCTTAGCGCTTCGTCCTGCATCCGTCCCAAATATTCTAACCAGTAAGCATGCATTTTTGATGTTTTTAGGCATATCCCGCAGTTCTCGACGAATTGGATCTTATAGATGAGGAAGATCAAATAACTCACACAATTTCTCTTGAAGATGCCATCAATCCTGAAAATGAACTGAGTACGTTTTGGCTGTCAAAATCATTCATGATTTAAAATTTGACTGTTGGTGGTCATGCCATTCTTTTTCGATGTCTTCAAACTTGATCCGAACTTCGAAATGAATGAAAAGCAGTACGAAGAAATTCGCGCTGAAATCATTGGCGATGATGACGATAGTGAAGACGAAGAGAGTGAAGATGATGGAATTGGAAGCGGTGACGATGCAGATGGCCAATCAGGTTTGTCATTACTTGTTAATTGTTATTAGAAGTAGTGCTTTTTCGTTTTTTCCCAGTTGGAATTAAAAGCTAGGGAAAGCGATTAATCTAAGCATCGTGGAAGGAGGAACTGTTCTAGTATCTTACCCTCATAGTGTTTTTCTAGCAAAGTATAAGGAGCAGATGCTGTAACAAGAACTCACAAGATGGTTTCCCTACCCCGCCTAGATTTGCTACTGGAGAATAAATAAAAAAAACAAAACTCGGAGCGCTCAAACATAACCCGTTTACATCAGTTTCTGGATATCTATCTGTCTTGTTGAGAAACAGAGAGATGTTCCTCTGGTTGATTGATTCGATCGTGATCAATTTTACCGTTGCCGTCAACTCCATTACAATCTGAATTCTCTATGAATGCGTATTGAAAAATCACTAATAACTAATTTGAAGTTGTTTGATTACACGGAGATGAGTTTGAGTCTGTGTATTCCTTAACCGTTGATAAACAGGTGCTCCTACTTCGACAACCGGAACGACGGAAATAATCGACAACACGGAACAGAACCTTGTCGCATTCCGTCGCGAAGTTTATCTCACCATACAGTCGTCGCTCGACTTCCAAGAAGCCGCTCATAAACTTCTCAAGATGCATGTTTCCAAAGAGATGGAGGTGATTCTCATTAAGTTCTGTATGTCGAGATCAATGTATGTAGAGTTGTTTTCAGGTGGAACTCTGCCATATGCTGGTGGATTGTTGCTGTCAGCAAAGAACATATGAGCGTTTCTATGGCCTCCTATGCGAAAGATTCTGTCGGCTTCGTAAGGAGTACCAGGTGTTTCTTCTAAAAATATTTTGTTACCAGAATAGCTAGGAAAAACGTATAATCATCAATGCTATTTCAGATAACATTTGAGAAAATTGCGTGTGATACCTACGCAACTATCCACAGATTTGACATCACAAAGCTGAGGAACATGGCACGACTTATCTCTCATCTGCTTTTCACGGATGCGATATCGTGGACGGTAGGTGTAAACAACTTATTAGGAAAAGCGATTTCTGTACCATTGGCCAGTTTTTACCCCATCGCATACTTCATTCAAAATACCCCGTTTACGAACTTTTTTGCTGATCCATAGTTAAGGATTTGAGCAAACAGGTCTTGGATTCCCTTAAGCGTGTAGTTGCATATTAGAGCATAGCTCGTCCATCAATGCTTCGCTGCGAATTTCTCAGCAGTTTTATGAAGCATTTTCCGCTTCCGTTCCGTACCCGGTTTTGCGCCATTGTTATGGTGACATGCTACGCAGATTCATTCTGATAATCAGCAGCTGGATTATAAGGATCCCTAGTTGAATAGAAATTAATGATATTCGGTTAAAGATGATAATTTGTGGGCGCCGTCGCGGTATTCATTTTCATCGCGGCATAACTTCCTTTATCAAAGTATATCTGTCGGCTCGCCGCGGATGTTAGCTTGTTTGAATGAATTTGTTATTTCATTTCTCTCTCACTTTCTCTATTTCAGATTTTCACTGATGTTAAGTTAACCGAAAACGACACTACCTCATCTGGTCGTATTTACTTAAAATATGTCTTTCAAGAATTGTGCGAATCAATGGGACTTACGAAACTGTACGAACGGGTGACAGATCCGTGAGTTTCATTCGTAAAGCGATCATCCCTTCTTCCAATTATTACTATGTTTTTTAGAACGTTGCAACAAGCCTTCGCTGGTTTGTTTCCTCGTGATAATCCTCAGAACACACGGTTCGCAATCAATTTCTTCACTCTCACTGGTCTTGGTGGTCTCACGTGAGCGCTTTTCAGTTATTTGGATATTATTTCTATCGTTATAAATGAAAGGAATATGCATGGAACGTAAAATTCATAGAACCATAAAAAATGCCCCTTCTTCCGCTCCCCCATATTCGGTTGCAAACTGACCGCCTCACTCAGTTTGAGCGTTAAACTTTAGCAACCCCCGCGGTCGTGGACCAGTTTACCCTCCTGCTGGAAAGTCCCTTCAGCTAATCGCTAATTACACCCTTTCGCCTTAAAAGATTGGCAAGTTCTGGAAGCTTTTCGTTTGTTCATTGGCTGTTGTTACTAGGATTAGCAACTTGCCAAGGGGATGTGCCAGGTAACTAAAATGTCGGGCACATCAGTCGCGCGTACACCCTTGAGCCTTGTATGATTGCACGTCTTGAAAGTTTTTTGGAATGACATCGCTTGTTACTCTTATGATTAGCCATTTGATGAGTTAGCCGTGCTTGCGAAAACGCAAGATGCAGTCTAATGTGTAACGTTACTTCGAACGTGTTTTTAAATTAGTCAGCATGCTGTTTAGATGGCTGATTTATACAACGCTACCGCTCCAATTGAATCGGTTTCTGTTACAGACTTGATCTACGGCAATTCCTAGAAAAGGGCATGAAGAAAAAGAAGGAAGAGTCCATTGATGAATCGGCATCGTCGTCATCATCTTCATCGTCTTCATCAGATGACTCTAGCGATAGTGAAAGCGACAGTGACGATGACGATGATTCAGGTATGTTGCCATTCAGGGGGTGAGATTGATGCTGTGAATGCCACAATTCTGATTGGCCATGAACTTTAAGTTCTGCTCATTGAAAATAAAAAACGTTTTTCTTGAAAGGGCTGAGGGTTGTGACCAAAGAGTAGTTCATGCATTTTACTGTAAACTTTAACCTTATCAGTGCCGGAGGGTTTTCTCTCATTGTCTTTTATGCTTATCTGACGCAGATGACTCAGCCACTTTTCTCGTCTTAAGTAGTAGAACAAGAAATTTGTTTGCAGATTCATCATCTTCGTCGTCGTCTTCATCGTCTTCGTCTGACTCAGATAAAGCAAAAAAGCGAGAAGCGCTCAAGGACAAAGCCAAACGTCGCTTTAAGGAATCGAAGGAGCACAAAGAAGTTAAATCGAAAGGCATTCAAAAGAGTCAATCACATAAGTCCACTCGAGGTTCTGTCTCTGTTTCATGATGTATTTCTAATCTAAAGGGTACTAATTCTTATTTTAATGAAGTTGTTAACATATACTAAAATTTCATCTGACAAATAAATTGAGGTTGTATAGTAGTTAAAACATCATTTTGGACAGTTGTATAGAAAGGCCGAGCTGTTGTTGTGGTTTGAAGTTCGATTTGTTACAGTGCTGCTATAAATTGATCGGGATGGTTTGACTTCCTCGTCACCGTGCATTGAAGAAACAATTTCGGGGAGTTTCTGCAAAGGAACGTGGGGATGTGGACTGGTGTTTCCCCCTCTTTGCTAAAGCTCGGCCGGATTTCGGCGTTCATCAAATGGAAGTGAGATTTCAATATTTTTCAGGAAGAATGACGCTGATTCTAGTTTACTGACACCATTTATTCAATTGAAAAAAGATCGTCTTTTGAAGCGTTCCCATATAGAAAACAAGCAGTGCTGGATTTCGAAGGCAGTATCGAGCCTTAGACAGATGTGGCAGGGAATCGTCGTCGAACTCTTTCGATTCTTTCAAATCGTTCTGTTGTTATGATTTCAGTGATCGGAGGGCGACGATCCCCGTCGACATCTTTTCGATAAGGAGGTGCACCGGCCTGAATAGATTTGATTAGGAGGGGCTATCTGTGAAGTTATTGAGGGAGAATGCTCACATGAGATGTAGAAATACGTCGAGGTGGTGGTTCATCGTGACGAGGTGGTGCGTGTGTATAAATGGGTACATCTCGCGNAGTTTTCCGTTCATGCATCAGGGTTTTTTCATGTTCGCGAATACCGTCTCTAAAAAAGGAGGTACATCTACCTATACCATACATGGCAGCGGTTCCAGACATTATTGGCGGTAGACCTAGTTGCCGTGGTTACCATTTATAGTTTGACTGCGGCTGTACAAAGTTGTAGACGACAACCTATGACGACCATAGAAAAATGACCATCGCCCATCTGAGTGCCAGTATTGAAAACCTTTTAATTTTTCGGTCGATATTCGAAGGCAGTATTCTTCAGAAACCCCTATCTGTTTTCAGATGGGGGGCATTGCCCGTTTTTGGCAAGGCGACTCACGGTGACACCCATTTAGAGCATAGCAGACGGCAAGACAACCAGCTAGGAACCTACGCGCGATCAGAGGTGACGAGACCCATCCGCGATGCCTTAGCTACAGCCCTTACGCGATTGTTCCCTGTAGCGGCTCATTGATGTTACATGACGTAAATTCAAACATACGACGCTTTGAAAGCTCACCTTTGACGACCATATTGGCTGTGACCGGAGCGATCTGAAACTGTATGAGTGCTCCGAGCATCTGAAAGTGGACGAGATGGTGGTCCTGAACAAAAAGGAATGTAAGCGTACACCACAGCGAAAGCGTGATTGAAGCATTAGCGTGGTAGTCGGCAATCGTTCCTTTACATACAAGAGCGAAGATTCAGTGAGAGTGCAAACTGTCACCGTAATCTAGTCAATTCTTCACACTACTACTACGGGCTTTGGGTTTATTGTGGGTGTTTGAGTTACTTATCGAGGGGAGCAGCAGCGAGATTACGGTAAGAATTTGGATACGTTCGCTTCTGCCAGCTCCACTATTGGACAATCGTTTTTGAGGTGGTCTCGAATCAGGGAGAGATCCACCAATTGGGGGGCGAGGGCGGGATCAATCGCAGACCTGTATGAGCTAAAGATGGGGCTAGGCCCGATTATTAATCAGAAAGTGAAATTAATAAAGTCTAGAAGGATGTAATAATATTGTAGAAACAATTTGTGATGGGTTCAGAGTAATGTAGAAGCCGACAGACAGCTCAGCTCCCTCCCAAGGACGTAGTGTGTGTGGTTAGCAAAGAAAACAGCGATTTTCGAAAACCGGATACACTCGAATAGATGGCGAACCGCTTTTTGAAGCGAAAAAAATGTTCCTAGTCTTTTTTCTAAATACTTCTGTTAACGTGATTCTGTGGCTCTGCGGTTTCATCTGCTCGGGAAACTCGAATATCCCAGGGAAATGAAATCAATTTTTTTGCAAGTTTTCTGATACTGTCACGAGTTTTTCGAAAGTACCATTTTTATGCTGAAAACATGAAAATCAGAAGGGATGGTACAAAGCCTACTGTAGGAAGCCGAATATTTGAAAGCGAAAAATGCAATCATCCTCCTATGCAACATACCGAATGTAGAGCGCTCATATTTCCTATAATCTGATACATAACTGGAATCCCTGGATCTTTGTGGGCCAGTTTCCGCTGCAGCGAATGAGCCTCGCTTTTCCGAATGTGCTTTGGGTGGTTCCAGTGAGCGCTCGACTCTTTTGATGTGCTCTCTTTTCGAAGACATCTTTTCTTCGAAACTGCGCCGTTCCTCAACTCTTCGTTCCTGAACAGAGCTCTGAACTGATGGTTGAGGACTGCGAGGTGCAGCGGGGCCATATTCCTGAAGCACGCTATCCACTCTTCGATTTGTCTGAGAGATCTCATCATCGACATCGAGTGTTTGACGTGATGGATGCCGACTCCCTCTATCCGGGGTCTTCTCGCCTTGAACGACTTCACGTTCATAGTAGATGGTACGATCCAGTATAGGTGTTTCGGCTGTGAGCTCTGCTTCCCTTTCGCCATGACGATATGGAGTCTCCAGTCCGTTTCTAGAAGGAGCTCTCCCTGAAACATCTTCACGACTGGCAGTTTCATCAGCAGCTAGAGGTGGACGATAAGGGCAGACTTCGAATGGAGTAGGAGTCGCGCTAAAAAAACAGTTAAATCCATAAATTCATAATTCTATGGAGATCTAGAGAGAAATCTGTGAAATTTTCTCTACAAAGCGAGTAATGGTGGCTGGTCAAAATGTACTCTGTCCTCAAAAACTGTAATGAAAATGAGAGCTCGAATGGATAAAAGGATAAAGGTTTTGCGTTAATCAATCCCGTCTGAGGGATGCGCCCCCGCACTCGACTTCCATTCACAATTTTAGTGGCGTAATGAGTGCGGATGTGGCCTATTCAATGACTCGCGGGGGCCAGCCGATGTACAAGCCAGTGCATTTCTCTCCCAGACGAGTCTGGTACCAATTCACCGACCCCGGAGGGATGGAAGGCCTGGTTGGCCTAGACGGGTACCCATCAGGGATTCGACCCCCTGACCGTATGTGTGAGATAATGCGCCACATGGCACTACGCTACCTCGAATACATCCCTTATTCCCTTTCTCCCGAGCTAGTTTAAAGGCCTCCTTCTGGGGAATAACGATGGTGTCTGCCCTCACAATTATCTGATCCTTCAGTGACTCCAAATCGGAATTTTAATGAAAGCCATAAAAACTCAGTGCTGATCGATTTTTTTGGTGCATCTGTGTAGTCGACTTCCAGTCAGAATTTTCTTATTAGCTTTCGAACGCAGCTGTGGCCTATCCAGCGATGGTGACCAGTCGATTTTCTGGTACTGTTCTATTCCTCCCACACTAGTCTGCGTGTAACGTGGAGGTATAGAAGGTTTTTTTTTCGCCTGGATGTTTATCAGCTCGGGATTCGATCTCTGTGCCAGTAGTGCGATAGCGCCATTTGGCACTATACTACTGCTGGTGAAAATTTGATAATAATCAAGAATTAATGGGAATTTAATTCATATTGGGCGGAGGCGTTGTATTGGCAAGTGATACAATCATGCATGATCGAAAATTTGGGCATGGGCGTGGGTTCGAATTTCTGATAGGAATTCGCCCATGCCAATCAAGCCGCTCATCCCTCCGGAATCGATTAATTCTGTCCTGACTCCTCTGGGAGGATAAAATCACTGGCATGTACACCATATTTAGTCACCGCATATTAATGTAAATGCCACATACACATTCAATATGTCACTACAGTCCAGACTGGAAGTCGAGTGCGGAAACGCCGAAAGACTTTATTCCTTATCCTTCATACTTCAACTCGGCTCATTCGAAGACTGTAATCATCCTACCTTGTAGATTTTCTGTAGAATGCCTTCATGTTTCCATAGCTAGCATTTTCACAAGATAAATGGCTGACTCACCTAACACGATCTCGGATGCTTGTCGTCTCGACATCTTTATGCATTTGCTCATGACTTTCCTTAATTAGTTCAGTAATTTTTCTTTTTGAGAGATAGCCAAAGTACTTATGACGAAAACAATATACCTGAACGAGAGAGTACTCTTCGACCTCTTTCGCTGGAGAAAGATACTCCAGAACGGGTTCCTCTTCTTTTTCACTTATACCACGTGTCTCCTGCTCCTATAACGTACCTCGTAGATAAGCCGTGACCGACTTGGTTCAAAAATTACATGAGGTTGGTCTCGTATATGATAGGGACTAAGCGTTGGAAGCTATTGCTAGAACTCTATGAAGAGGATAAAGTTCCGGGGCCTTAATCAATCCCGCCTGAGGGATGTGCCCTGCTTTCGACTTCCATTCGGAATCGTGGGGCGCATTGGATGCGTATGTGGCCAATACAGTTACTTGCGGCTGCCAGCATATGTACAAGTCAGTGCTTTTATTCTCCTGGACGAGTCTGGTACCAACCAGTCGACCTCGGATGAAGGCTTCGTTGACCTAGACGGATAGCGATTCGAAATTAGAATCCGTGCGCTACTTGCCACTACACCACCTCCGCCCATAATTGGCGGTCGTTATCCTCCTATCCATATCCAGGGAGGCAGTCCTTTGTTGTAGTACCAGTTGAATTCTCAACGGGAGTGGTCCTGTTCGAAAGGAAAGGACAATAAGCCTGCTCATTTCGATGAGCGCCCTAGTTATGTCTTGAAATTTTGCCATAACCCTTTCTTCAGCCTCATGTTCTTTTTCTTTGCCTAGAAACGTTTATGTAGTTGTATAGAAAATCTCTCTGTGTTTTATTTTACCTCGAACCTCAAAGAGAACAAACGAACAGAAATTCAGAATGAACTCACCTTTTCGCTTTTCGTCAACGTGTAAAGAACAGGCTCCTTCTCACGGGTACAGATCTCCTAAAGAGCCGTCCGATGAGAGCATGCTTCAACTTCAGTCTTCAAATCAAGATCTGACTGAACAACTGCCCAAGTACCTCACTCTGTGACAAGTAAAAGATGCTTGCGTGATAACGACGTGTCCCATTGTGTCCCCCTAAGAAACGTCTATTTCCTACAGTATCTCTGGCCCTTTCAACAATGTAGATTGCGCGCACTGCACATAGATTCACATGCACAGTAACTAAGATTGCTGACTCCAACAGACCCCTATATGGACACTAGAAAGCCCATTAGTTTTTCATCATTCACCCCATGTTCTAGCCATTGCATCGTTTTGGTGATGATCTCTCTATGAGACAACTGTTCTTTGGATCGTTTTGTGTCGGGTTCAACCCTCTGTAAGCATAGTCTTGGTCTTGATTTCGTAAGCCACCAAATCTGTTTTGGATTTTCTTTTGATTTGAGTTATGTCCTTTGAAGAATCAGTTAATATGGTCATTTCCCAAAATCATTTAGCGAGGAGGACAAGCAAAGCATACCATGAAGGCTTTGGAGGAACATAAGCACTGGGTATTAGGCGGCTTTTTGTGGTGATTATGAGGAGATCACTCGAAGCATATGGTTGCTGCACTTCCTACTATGACGAGGAAGGATCCTTTCCGAAAAAGTAAGGCCCCGATTCATCATCCGGCGATTCTCTTAAGCCTTTCAAGGCATTTCTTGATGCTCAAAGCATGATGTTTACCATTTAAAATCGAAACGGCTGCCGAATATTTGAAAAAAAAACACCAAAATTTGATGGCTGTTTATGAGTCAGAATAGTAGTATAGTAGGATAATAATAGTCATACTTACACTGCTCGCGTCGACATACTCTTCCATTCTGTAAAGAGAATAGTCGTCATAGAGATTATCAGGAGGATGGTCGCAGATTTGAACAGGCTCGAGAAGAATGATTTCTTTTCGACCATCACGTCGAGGTTGCACCGTTTCGTAGATTTCCTCAGCGCACCTGGGCTAAGAACAGATTCAATTCTTCGCCAACAGAATACGTTGGCTAAAAACAAGCTACTTTTCAGCTCTCTCGCTAAATTGAGAACACTGAACATTGCTCCTGAGCCCTCAACGGTACCCAGCCAGCACTTCGCTCTGTAGACTGTAAGACTTTGTGAAAGTTTGAAAAGGAGGCTTAACTCTTTGGATTGTAAAACTGAGAAAAACTACAGAAGATGCAAGAGTCAGAAAAGCAAAAATGTTGGTGGGGAAGGCACAAAGAGTGCCGAATGATCTGGCTGAAAGATGTTCTTCACGCTACCAATGGGAACTCTATCCACGCCACCACTCTGACCACCTTAGCGAAGAATGCGTCTTTCTTCGAAAGCTTGGGCTCCTGCTGCTTCTGGAATAGGGTAAAAAGACCGCTTGGATATTAGTTTTCCGTGTGACTACAGCCCTACCAACCTGGTCGCCCTATACTCGTGTCACTTTCCTAACCAGTTCGTGAACGGCCCGCAGTCGTAAACAGAAGAATGTTAAGGGACCTTGTGAACCGCCCTGTTTCGTCAAGCCTTTGTCAGAGCTCCTCAATTCCACTAACTAACTCTGGTTGCATCGCGTAATGAGAAGGTTTCTCAAAACGAAGCTTTTCAAAAAATCTTCGGAGCAGGGAGAAAGTGATGTACAGAATAAGAAGCAGTGAGATTGAACTAGTAAGAGAATCGTCTTAGAAGTGTGCTGGAAACTTCTCAAATTCAAACTAAGACATGAGCTTTGAGAAAGATGGAGCAAATTTAATTAGAATTAACCTCGGATGTCGTTTCACGAAACGAACGATTTCCGGTGCACCTTCCGTTGGCCTGCAACTAGAGGTAAAAATTAAGATCAGTGAGCAAGGGACTGAAGGAACGTGTAACGACCTTTGGGTCCTTTTTCTTCTGTACACCTCCAGTGACTCTTCTTCTTGCCATGCTCCCTGTGGGATTTTCGTGTCCCCAGGTGAAACACGATGGGCTGAAAGGGCGACTGCATTCACATGCTTTTCTTTTTATCTTTTGGAGAGGTTTCAGATATCTGATTTAGGCCACTACAGGTATATGAGGTACTAAAGTTAGCTGCGAAAAAAAATTCCTCAAAAATTGAGGAAACCATTTTTCATGAAAAAGAAAGCAAGAAGTTTCCGTATTCAGCTGCCATTCTTTTAGGCCGACTGTTATAAAAATAAATGATTTTCGAAAGTCAGTTTTCATTCCGGGTAGCGACTATGCAGCAAAGGTATAATAGTTTACAACTGAAGATCGATCAGGACAAGCTGTGGTGATAATATCTGGGAAGTTCTTTGTCGGTTTCAATGGTTAGCTCACTTGTGAATAAAAGTCGTCCATGGGCATGATAAAATCGAACTCACAAGGAAGTAGTAGGGAGTCGAACTGAACCCTTCATAATAAGAGACTATTATGACGTGAATATTGGTGGCGCGCTTTGACTCGGTTTGATTTTGGCTCAGGATTGAAATGGGAATCAGGAAATCAAGGTGATTAGCCCTTAGCCAGTCACTAGTCACTAGTTCGATTTACATTGGCGAAGACGCTACTACATCCGAGAAAGACGGGTAGAAGTTTTTCAGTGATTCTCGGTGGCGAAAGATGGGGAAAAGGGAAGCTGGTGGAAGGAGGATCGGTTCCAGTGGCTGATACTCGCTGCATATGGTGGAAGCAAAGGTGGTGCATTTAGTATTTTTGCAATTATTGCTCACTGTCATACTATTCCACATGTGTGATTTCTTGAAAGGAATGAGGAACTGCTGATTTGCTATTTTTCACCCCTTCCATACCCTTCTAGGCTTTCTAAGAAGTACTCTACAGTTGCTGTTGCCATGAGGGTTGTAATGAGATGTCCCTCGACGTGTAACACCATTTAAGGGAACTACTTGGGGCTATACAGGGCTCAAATACCACCTGATAGAACTCCGTTCCTCCATCGAATCCAGTCGTCATGTTTTACCCTCTATGCAAGATCGGGTATCATTTGCCTTCACTTTTAGGATTGAATATTTCAGAGAAACTCACGCTTGGATGGCGGTAGATGGCTATCCATTGGAGCTTTTGGAGTTTACAGAGATGGAGATTTTGCAGCTTAAATATAAAGCCTTGGTCAAATGACACGAACGAAAGAATGAGAAAAGCAAGAATGTTCGTTCCGAGGGAATCTGACGATTTGCTATTCGCAAGAGCAGTAGCGCCAGAGGCGATGAATCAGACGCGAAAATTCTTCGTCTTCCTTCTGAAATTAAACAAAACTCGAATACGAAAACATCATGCCATATGAGTCGTCCGAAAGTGAATGCGTATGTGTGTATGCCTAGTTTCCTGTAAATATCACATATTGTATATACATCATGCCGTACTAAATTGAACACACTCCACCATTCCGACCAAAAAGAAAAGCAAAAGGCGAGTAGATGACATATCATATCCTACACATCCATCCAATCTATTCGCTTCTCCTGTCATATAAAAGGCAAGCATCTTTACCTTCACAGAGTATGGTCATAGCCGCTGGGATCGACCACACTAGTCCTCGTTTTGTTCGTGGAAAAATTGCAAAACCTTGTAAAGTATAAACTATCCTGCACTATTTCTATATAGGCATAAATGGCATATTTTGTAGCGGCCATAGGGACGTTGAGGAAGACCGCAGAATATTGTCCTACTCTAGTGAATTTGGATGGGACTAGACTGTAGAAGAGTCCCATCTAACGATAATACCATTTACTTACTTGAATACCTAGACATGCTGATTGACTTACCACTGCACCTACATTGATTTGCTTCAAACCTACATATTCCTCGGGGTTCAACTGCCTAAAGCTGGTTCTGTAGCTCATTTATTGTAAGTCATGACTGGTTTAGATGGGGTACTTGTCTACTAACCTTCCTTTTTCCATGAACTCCCTCTGAGTACCTATCCTTCTTTCATTTATTCACTATTCTTTACATTTCGATTTCATCTACCTCAGCCATCTCTTTTTCAACCCTCACAGACCGTAAGCCTTTATTGTCGTGTCCACACATCCACTTCCATACTTCATCCTTTCAGGGTAAAGTGCTGCTGAGTAGTTTCAGGGCTTTGTTGTCCTTCTTTCGAGTTATATTTTTCACTTTGAAGCTAAATATTGTGCTACTTGATACTTAGCTACCTTTCCAAACTTTTCTACGACGTTTGATTTATTCAAAAAAGCATTTTGAGAGGTGATACGGGTGCTGTTTTCGAATCACCGTGAACCTTTCTTCTCCCCCATATTTTATGGAATCTACCCGGAAGAGTCAACACGAAGTAAAACCCTTCCCTCTCCGTTGCCAGTAAATATTGAGCAACCGAAAAACGTAGGCAAACAGTTGAGTTCACATGTGTGAGGTGTGATTTTTCGCGACCGGAAGCCGCAATTACGTCTCGTTCGATAAAAATATAGAGGATGGATCCTGGAAAATCAAAGATAGATTTTTTCACACGCTTCTACTAGGGGCTTTGGAAGAACAGTTCACGGAGAACGTGGAACTTTAGTCGCTTGTTTTGAGAGGCAAATTTAAAGGAACGCTGGCTGGTCATTGGTTCAGAATCTTCCCAACTTTCTCGTTCAAATAAAAATCTACAAAGTTTTGTCTCAAAAGGAGGCTACAGGCATTTTCCACAGGAACTCTTAGTTACTATCCCCATTTAATACTATAGACAGATCACTTCGCCATTTGATCAGGCAGCTGCCATCTAAGATATTGAAAGACCACTCCTGGCCTACCTGCCCTTAAATTACAAAGACCTTCACCGGGGTCTCGGTAGTTTAAGGGATAAGGTGCCCGGAAAGCACAAGCACGGGTTCGAGCCCCGTCCGAGACTGGGGTTTTGCTCACAAATCCCCATTCTTGTGAGACTATCCTTACTCTTCCATGACCGTGTCCGATATAGGAACTCTCTCGAACGATCACTCTCACTAGCGGGTACATAGCTGAGGGGACGTGCCAGAGACATTTCACACATGAAATGTAGAAATGACCTGTGCCATACCTAGATGAACCTTTACCGTTTCGCACATCCTCTGACTCTCTCTTGAGGTGACCTCGCCTAATTGGTTAGCTGCTGACCTCTCTTACAGAGAAGACCGAGCTGAACCGATATCGAATCTATCAATTAGAAAATCCGTTACATTTTAAGAGGTCATAAAAAAATTGACCAAAAAAACTTCATATAAACGTAAATTGTCAGCACTGAAGGCTGTGAAGGGCAAACAATTATAGGTAAGGAGAAAACTTATAATTTCTGGGAAACAATCACTCTTCCAATTCGCTTGCAAGTGGTCCAGTTCAAAGAGGACGAGCGCTCTTGCATTTTACAAAATTTTGCAAAAACCGTGAAATATATCACCGTGTCTTTGTATTTCACATGTGCAGCTGTAATGAAAAAAAATAAAGTTTCCAGTTCATAGAGTTGCTATCAGCTTAGGTGAGTCTGGCAGAGAAACCAGCAACCAACTATTGAGAAAGGTCACCTCACACCCCACAGGCAGTGAGCGGAGTCGACAAGAGGATGCGAAGAGGTTCGTGCCCAGTGTATATAGGTGAGGGCTGAGACGTTTGTTCAGTTGACTCCATCTAATCTATACCTTAATGATATCACAAGTTCTGGTTCTCTATCATAAGCTCTATACCTAATACTGTTAGAATTTCGTCTTTGGTCACGCATTCAAACTCCCATTATACATGTAGCACCAATTGCAAGAATGCTCGTATTGCTACGGGATTTGTGGAGCACCGGTTTGAGTGTGACGCCATTTCCATTTTGTCAGAAAGTTCACTCTAGAGTGAGGGATGAATGGTCTGACCAGCTTGGGGACTATAGGCTGCGATTATCATTCCATGGTAGAGGAAGTTGCCTCCCTTGATTCTACTCCAACTCTGAACCGATTTTACTGAATTGTTAGCAAAAATGACTTGAACACTCACTTTTTATCGTGATAAATGCCCAGATTCTAGTCCATTTCTTAACGAAACGGCTCATCCCTTGACCTTGGTGTGTCATGGTTCCATTAATATAGATCGTTATAATAAGCTTTGCTCTCGAATTTCTGGGTCCACTAATGTTCGGTACCCACACTGTCGATGGGACCCAAATTTTCTATTTGTTGTTGTTTACCCGTAGTTACGAATTTCGTATAAGTTTGAATCGTGTTTACTAGTTGACAATCGTCGTGTTTATTTGTGATTTTGATGAAATATGGGAGCCCAATTGATGCTGTCACTTTGCAATAATCGCGATCGGGGATCGGCGTCCATCACAATTTTGATGAAATATGGGAGCCCAATTGACGCTGTCACTTTGCAATAATTACAATTGGCGATCGGCGTCCATCACAATACTACGTTCACCATAATAACACCGCCACCGTCACCGCAAGGCTATTTGTAGCTGCTGTTGTTTGCGGAGCTACATAAATATCGCATACAACGGTCGCTCTCAACTGAACCCCCTATTTAATTCCGATGTCCGATCTGGGCCTAACCGGATGTGTGTACTTTTTCTAATGAGGGGATAGTGTTGTTTGCGGAGCTACATAAATATCGCATACAACGGTCGCTCTCAACTGAACCCCCTATTTAATTCCGATGTCCGATCTGGGCCTAACCGGATGTGTGTACTTTTTCTAATGGGGGATAGTAGTTGTTGTTAAAAGGAGCTTTTTCTTTTATTTATTTCTACATCGAGATCTTTATGTACGGAGCCATTGCGAAGCATGAGATTCTCAAAATATCCGTGCCTTGGTTGACGTCCGCTCGCCTTGCCTGTCTATTCGGCTGATGTCGTTCCGGTCACATTCATTCATAAAACGTACTGTTCAATAGAAGTGGTATGAGTCACTCGCACAGAAAAAGAGGAGTGGATGACTCGATGGTGATAAATGGTTCAAAAACTCCATTCTCTACGTCATACCAAACTTCGGTCCGACTTCCTACAACTATCAATCAGTTTTTGATTCACTGCCCTGTCACCACCAAAGATCTTTGCTCAAGCATCCACGGCAAGTCCATTTCTCTTGCTATGAAGTGGGTTCAGCAGTCACTTTGTATCGAAAGCAAACTTTGAAGCACCTTTGAAGGCTTACTCCAGCGGCTGCTAGTGACTCTGCCATGCACCCACTCCTTTTCCTTTCCTTCCCCTCTCTCCCCACCTCTTTCATCCCTATTCCTTTCCCACGGTAACTGAAATCAGGGCTCCTTTTTACAGTGATCGTAATGTAAATTTCTACTCAATACACCTACATTCTAATCACGTCACATATACGACGCATCGAGAAAAAAAATCAGGGCAATGAGCAGCAACTACCGTAGACGTGAAGTAGCTAGGTATCGACTACAGAAAGGAGTTGGCTCGCTGTGTCGAGTTGGAGCACGGATAATCAGGAGGATTGCTTTAGGACATTATTGGAATGTAATTGACTTCCACCACTACTGGAGAACCCTTGACAATAAATTTTGACAAGGAAATCGGAAAGTCCTCTTTTTGTGTGACCTTTTACGCTGAAGCGTGACCAGACCTACGAGATTTTTGACATTTCGCTGTTAATTGTGACCGCGTTCATTTGGATAAAACAGCCATTGACTTAGAACCATAGCTAGTGGTGAGGTGAATTATGATTAAAGTGATGTAAATGCTGTCCGATGTAAAATTAACCAACGAAGTTCACCGTCGTGAAAGTAAGAGCACCCAAGGAACCCTTCAAGTCTACTACCTCATCTTGTCTTTCATAATTTTTGGCATTGTACCGAACGTGGATAGCGGAAATTGAGCTTTTTCGAGCTATCGAGTTACTCTTGAACAAAAGTTCCAGCTCAGTAGGTTGCCATCGAAGTGGCCTTGTCCCTAAAAATGCCATTCAAATGAGCCGGCTCTCTTCTTATATATTCATTTTGGTAATAGTTGTTACAAGAGTATTGCGCAAAATGCCTTTTCACTGCACATTATTTTATAATTTTTTTTTTCAATCGATATGGTAATGTTTTAGCGTGTGTTACAACGTAGCTCAGTTCAAAGTTCGCATCGGGCCGTATTAATGGTAGAGCTATTAATAGCGTGATAGGGGGAATAGTACATAGTAGCGATCGCTATTAGAGATCACCCGATATCATGGTTATTGACTTATTATCATGCGGAATCACGTCATTTTTGATGGTTGATCGCCCCGACTGTTGCAAACAACAAAAAGGCAGAAGGTCTGAATGGAATATAAAAGCGGAGGAGTCATATCAGTTCGAAACCAGTATTTCAGCTTTGCTTTCTCGACGCCCTTGCTGGAACCGGTCTATGTTTTAACTAACTAATCAGTAGGCAAGTAAATGAAGACCTCCCAACCATTGGTTATTAACCACCCTTGAGAAGTAAACTTTGTCAGCTTGAACATAATCTGATCCCTGAAACCTCTGTGTAGATCGAGTAGGATGCCTTGGAACGTTTTTGTAACTTTATAGCTGAGAATGATTGAGTCAGTGCATTTTCTCCGCAAAATTGGATGTTTTGTTCTCAAGTTATTGATTGATAGATGTCTCTGACTGGTAGACGGTAATCCACAGTAAACAATCACAAAGTGATTTTCTTCGCTGTTGACTTTTCCACGAATGATATTTAAAGTCCGGTATGTCGGTCCAGTGACGAAAACATTACAGTGCCATTCACAGATCAGTTTTCCCCCATTTCTCACCCTCTTTGACGCCAGTCTTTGAAATCATCCAAGTATGACTATGGTAGTAGCAAAAAGCACCGTTCAATAGCCGTGAATGACTCATTCTTGTAGTGAGATGGGTGTGTCTTAATTTTTCCAGAAGGTATAAAATCTCCAAATTCTTCTCTTCTCATCTTTCTCTAACTGTTGGCTCCCTGCCTTCCTTTTATGGGCTTAATACCTATTGTGTGTAATTCTTTTGCTTTTTTACCGCTTTTTTTTACATTGAAGGTCATTCCTCCTATTCTGTTGCCATGTTTACCTCTATGGTTCTCATGACTGGTAAGGTTGCGTTTCTTCTTGTTCCGCACTGTTTATAGACTACTCGTTGGTATTGCCTTTTCCTGAGATGTTTTCGCTTTCCAGATGCAACTCCTAATTCTACTGCTTAGCTTGGTCGCCTCGTCGTTTGCCCTTCTAGGGATCGGTAGGACACAGTCCGTAGCAGTTACAGGAAAATTAACCTGTAATGGACAGCCGGCTAGAAATGTGAAGGTGAAGCTCTACGAAAAGGAACTGAGTAAGTTAGTTGAGATATTACATTGTAGGTTGTTAAAGGGACGTGTAGCAGTAGTATCGATCCCTTCATGGCAAGCGGTGTTTCTTAGTTAGTTGTCTCGCCGTATGGCATGACACTTCGGAACTATTGCCAGTCCTCAATCAGGAGCAACCTTAGTACAATGTCCCTTCAGCCTTCGACGTAAAGATGGACGAAGGCAAAACGGATCAAAATGGTGAATTCCGATTGTCTGGTTCGAAAACTGAGATCTCTACTATCGATCCAAAAGTGAACGTTTATCACAAGTGCAATTACAATGGGGTAGGTTACAATTTGGTCACAAATTTACCAAGTGTTCAATAAATAAACCCGATATTCCAGCCCTGTTACAAAAAGTTTGGCATCACCATCCCGGACAATTTCATATCGAGAGGTGCCACACCACAAAAGACGTACGATATCGGAACAATTAATCTTGCCAACAAATTCACCGGTGAAACAACCGATTGTATAAATTGAATTCGTGTTGTTTTTGAATAACTTGTATATGTATATTGTATGTGTTTGTATATTTCATATGAGGGATTGAAATGAAAATGTGACTGCCAAAAACTCTTTGAACCAAACAATCACATTCATAAGATGTTCAGAGAACTGGCAAACAGTCACTCACAGATTTTATGNCCGGTGAAACAACCGATTGTATAAATTGAATTCGTGTTGTTTTTGAATAACTTGTATATGTATATTGTATGTGTTTGTATATTTCATATGAGGAATTGAAATGAAAATGTGACTGCCAAAAACTCTTTGAACCAAACAATCACATTCATAAGATGTTCAGAGAACTGGCAAACAGTCACTCACAGATTTTATGATTTCCACATTCGAAAAACCTTCCTTCGAGAAACTTGGATTAACAATTTTCTGGCCAATGGCTCTTTTGAAATAGAACAGTTTTAAAATTCGGGATTCGATTTGTCATCTCCAACGTACTGGTTTTCCAGAAACTCGTTTCTGGAAAGAAATGGTGATTAAAACCATGAATCCACGCCGGTAAAAATTGTGTATAGGTGGGGGATGGGTGAACAATTTGGAAAAAGGAAAACTTACCCGCGGTGGGCGGACCGTTCTCGCAGTGGGCGGTACTTTCCACAGAGATCCATAACCTGATTCAACGAAGGCGTCGAGACCAGGAAAAAAAATAAAAAGAGTTAGCAAGGCCTTATAAGCGCTGGGCATGCTTAAGCTTGGCGAAGTCCCGCCCACAATGGGAGGGGCGTGCGTTAGGATGAAAGCTACTTTTCGAAAATTAATATAAACTTGTTCGAAACGTTCTAGAATGCGGGGAAAAAGTGGTGAGAGGTAGTGGAGCAAATCTGGCCAAACCCCAGAAGTGGACGGGGTTGGCACTAAGGGGGCGGAGCTTAGGTCAAAAATTTATAACTCCGTTTAGAAACATTCTGGGATGCGGGAAAAAAGTGGTGATATGTAGTAGAACAAATGTGGTCAGATAACACAAGTGGGCGGGACTGGCACTGAAATAGGCGGGGCTCCAATGATGCCTTTCAAGGGGACCGGCACTACACTTACAAATTCCATTTCAAGAATAGTCATTAGTAATTGATATTCGTTGTAAAAATGCATTTTGACCAACTACTTTATGATTCTTTTAACTTGGAATGGTAATGTTCTAGGGTGTGTTACAACATAGCGCAGTTCAAAGTTCGCAACGGGCCTTATTGTTGTTCAAGCTATTAATAGCGTGACAAGGGCAATAGCACACAGTAGCGATCGCTATCAGGGTTCACCCGATATCAAGAGTATTGACTTAATATCATGCCAGAGCATGTCATTTTTGATGCTTCATCGCCCGGATTGATGCAAATGTTTGGGAAAACAGACGTCTAGATTGAACATAGCTTCTCCTCGCTAAAAAACCTTTGAAAAGAACATTCTGTTTTTTTTTCTGAACTTTTTGTCCCTTCTGCCGAGGTGTCTACATGCAGATTTACGAAGAAGTAGAAGGCAGCTTAGGGGATCTAAGCACAATCAAACCCTTTCACCTAATCTTGGTCGATTATTTAGTCACATCCATTTCTGAGAAGACAATGTTGTTGAAGTGAATATGGA